ACGTATGAAAAAAAAAATGTTGCACATACTTTTTTGATTTATCTATGTCTACTCTACATCATATCCAATTTTTAAAAAATATAGCAAAAAAAAATGCAACCAACCAAAGTTTGCTGGACTAAGACATTGCGTCTAGGATTGGCCAGGCTGTGCGCGCGGTGCATATGGTCAGAAATTCAAGATAGGCCAACATGCAAAAGGGCACATAGAAAAAATATTAGATTATCACTCTTAGGCTATGTTCTCACACGGCAGCTAACGGCTGGTTTTCCCTGATAAAAAGTTCTATTTTTATAAATAATACCGGTATCATATCAAAAAACAATACCGTAATAAGGGAAATACCAAATTTTGAGTATTCATTTTATTTGCTGTATTTGTTATGTAGTAGGAAGCGTAGGATCGATAAAAAAACGAAAATAAAAACCGTCCGATAAAAGTAAAATGGTACTAGGAATGCAACAAACTAGAAAATAAACTAATACCATAATATTAATTGAAATTTAGTTTAGTAATAATAGTATTCATTTTATTTGCTTTTAAGTAGCCTATGTTGTTACTTAGAAAGACAACAAAACAAATAAAAAAAGTATAATAAACCGATTGACGAACTTACAATAATTAGGCCTAGTTATATTAAATTTGGCATTTTCGCAACTCCATTGGCACTCCATATATTTGTTGAAAACAAACCGCGACCGAAACGAAGCGCGACCGAAATGATCTGTATTCAATTGAGTAAATGTAAAACCATATTTGAAGCCAATTGAAGGATATAATTTTTTGTGTGCTCCTAGCTAGCTATCCTTGACCTTGACCTGTTCGTTGTGTTCGCCCACAACCTGCCATCACAGGACAGCCTACTAACTAAGCTACTACTATTAACTACGGCTTGGCCTAGCGTAGGCCAGAACCAGGCTAGGCCTAGAGGGGGCCAGACGTATGTAGGTTAGCCTAGCCTAGGCCCCTAAATAGGCCTACGCCTGGTCCTAGCTAGGCTAGACCTAGCTTATAATTATTTGGATTGAGTCACTCAGTGGAATTAACAATAACATGCTTTACCTAGCCCCTGGTTCTTGACCTTCTGACACATCCGCTTCTTCGACATCGGAAACAACATCATTTTCACTCATTTTTATACCATTAAATAATGGTATGGTAATTCTCTGTAGACGAACTTGTTGTCAGATGCTGTACACCGTCGCCCTCTCTCGCTTGAGTAAGTTCATACAGAGAGGGCGTACACGCACACGTCACGTACACAAGGAACGTAGTACAGTTGAAACAAAGCTACGAAAGCCCATTCTTGCCAAAACAAGTATATGTTAGCGCTACTCTAATCTTTAAATTTTGAATTTCTAATTCGTAATTTCGAATCACTAATTCGTAATATCGAATTAGTGGCGCTAACATATACTGTACTTCTTTTGGCACGAATGGGCTTTCGTACAAAGCAAAAGCCCATTCGCTGCCGGGTGTTTCTTCAGCCAGTAATAAACTTATTAATAAAAGCCACTTATTTAAATGTTTACTACTTGGGCCTGGCCCAATTATCAGCTTTCAATTCAACATTAATTTTATAAAAAAAATATATTTTTCCAACTTAATATTCATAAATAGGCCTATTATAAGAATACAAAAATGTAGGCCTACTAGGCGCTCTACGTACTGTACCATTTTTGCGCGATCCACCACTTGCTTTGACGTAATTTTCAATTCACTAATGCAAAATTAGTTTACAAAGCACCTAGTTCGACAAAAATATTATAGTACTGTACACAAGATCCCAGAAAAAATTCCTTCTGTGAGATCTGGTTAAATGTGAGCTTCCATAACATATATTATTTTATTTTGCATGCTGCACATGTGGTGTAGGCATCAGCATAGACTCTGCGAGACTTGGGAATTCATCATCAGTAGGGCCTATGTTCTGCCGGAAGGCAGAGGCCCTCAAGAAACTTCTATTCCATTATTCTCGGTCCTGTGCATCCCTCTACAACTCGTTGTAACTCTTTTCATTCCGGATATCAAGCTGAGCATTATTCGTTTCCTTCCTCTTGGTCCTTACTTTCTATTACATCCTTCAAAAGATTGTTGTTTCGCTATATGTGTGACCGATCCATCTCTTTTTCCTTTGTTTGATTGAAATTGCTAAATTTAGCTGTGTTTCCCAACTCTTTCTAAAACATCCTTGTTGTTGTAATTGTAATAGTCCTAATTAGGCCTAAGTAGTAAAAAAAGGCATGCGAATATTATGAATATGGGTAGTATTTTCCGGGAGATTCGTGCGAGATGCCGTCCATTTCCGATAGATTCTCGCAACTTCCGGGGGGACCCCTGACATGCCTTCTACACGGTACATGTTGTTCGGAAGGTACGGCCTATACGGCGGTGTATTGGGAGGGGAAAAGCAGGGTGGTAATCCTGTCGAATGTTTCGCCTTCCCATTTTTCCATTTTGTGGAAAAGTACACAGGTTCTTTTTTTTTTTCTTGTTGCTGCCCCTTTTTATATCTTGTTATCGCTACGTGTCCTCGAACTTTCTTCTTTTGTATTTTGTATCTCTTCCGAAGTTATGTATTATTATAACTTTTATCATTAGGCCTACCGATAAATTGCCCTAGTACACACAGGCGCTATTTTAAAGGAATGCCTTATCACTTTCATATTTTTTCATACTGCTATCGGAAAAACATTTTTGTACGTATGTATCTGAAAATGCCCTTGACAATGGCGGTGTCCCAGGGGAACAAGGGGAACCTACAGCAATGTATTGTGCAGGCCTTCTCCCACCCAGCTGTGTAATCAGTATTCCATTCACGATCTATTAGGCCTAAATTATTTTCGTATAGGCCTACTAAAGATATTGATATGTGTAGCAGTCCATTGCAATGTAAGGAATAAAACGTTGGATTACGTAAATATCTAGTAGGCCTAATTAATGATTATTTAATAGGCCTATGTATCTGAATGGTATTTTACTTTAAAGCATCAAATGTTTGTGGAGCATTTTTTGCATTTTGTGTAGGCCTAGGATGTCGGAGCTGTAAATCGTAAAACACAACAAATTGTATCAGTTTAAACCTACTTCATGTCAAATAAGTGCTATTTCCTACAGCTGCAGATGCTTATTGTAGAATTTTATATTTTCTTAAAATTTGTTATATTTTCTAAAAATGTTTTAAATTGAAAAAATAATCGTACTGCATTGTACAAGCAGATCAAGGCAGATATATATATATAATATATATATATATATAATGTATGTATGTATGTATGTATGTATGTATGTATGTATGTATGTATGTATGTATGTATGTATGTATGTATGTATGTATGTATATGTATATGTATGTGTGTATGTATGTATGTATGTATGTATGTATGTATATATTGCTCATCACTTGTTTGATTGCATTTGTACCGGTAACCAATACAAATCTAATTATCATAGTACTAAAAATATGTTATTTTAATTTGCTTTTTCCAGTACACATTGAGTGCAAACGAAAGCGTAGCTCGGATATCATGAATAATTTTTTACCGTTGGTTCGTCCAAGATTGCGGATGTATGATTTCATAAATATATACATAACATGAGTTTATTAAATTTCCATGCTTGAGTAGTTTTCAAATTAGAGTGTGTGGTAAGTTGTCACGATCATTCCAGTTTAGATTACAAAATTTAGGGATCTTCTCGTTTTCAATTACGGCCATGTAACTACAGTATAACTTTTCATAATGATTTCACAATTTCAACAGTGCAGTTAGTAACTGCTAGATTTCCATAAATTTACAAAAATCAGAAAACTTTTTTTTTAAATGCTGATTAAATATGTCAATTACATATATTAGTAATAATTAGTGATACAAACTGCAATGTTTTGTGTGTTTTAATGTGGAAAAGAAGACGAATAAAGTCAAATCAAAAATGAAATTCGCAATGTTCACACACAAGTTGCGAATCTCCTGCGCAATTTGTTTGTTTTTTTGGTTTTTTTTTGCGACAGATTGGTTTTGACCATAATTATAGATTAGCAATTACAATAACTTTGTTGAGATTGAAAAATTAATATTTCAATTCCGACGACCTCGTCGTAGTGACGGGGGTAGGGGACCATGCTGACGGGAGAAAATTCCCCTTCCCCCTGCTCTTCCTGCATCTGAGAGTGTGTAAAGTTAGGTGCAGTGCTTTGCAGCTCACTGTAGTAGTGTAAATTGGTGGATTTGGGAGTTCGATGTTAGGCATGGAGAAAATGTTAAACTCAGTTTAAAGTTGGGCAAGAAAGGTGTAAACTTGTTTGTTGTCAAGAGTCCGTGTTAATTGCTTGCAGTCAGATTAGTCAATTGTTGCTGTTTAGTCAAGTTAGTGAAAACTATGGTGCAGTTAAAACAGGTTAGTAGGCCTAAACTTGTGAAGATTGGCAATTCAGTGTAATTAACCAGGGAAGATGGGTTAAACTGGTATACAGGCAAGTCAGTGAAACGTTAATTGTTTGCAGTCAGGCATGTAGAATTATTGTGTTGTGAATTCATCTTCATCATTGAACATGGTGGCAACGGATCAATTTAGATATCAACAAATCAGTGTACATAATTGGTGCAGTTTGGGCAAGTTAGTTTAAATTAGTGCAGTCGGTCAAGTCAGTTCAGCAGGTACTTTATCAAAGCAAACCTGACACCTGTAGCAGGCGTTTTAAACCTGCCTCACTAACTCCATATGTTCAGTTTAAGCCTGAATTACTTGTTTACTGAGCACTTATTCATCATTTATCTAATCTCCAATGAGTATCCACTGTCAAAAATTGATTATGTTTCATATTGCAATATCGTTATAACAATGGCAATTATGGAGAGACTACAATGGCTTTACTAGGAGGTCCAAGCGCAAGCATTTTACTTTGCTGGTTTAGCAATCCCTTCGGCAAAAAAATATGTGGGAATTAAGAATCTTTCAATTCCATTGAGAAAAATGTTTGCTGCTGGAAAAGTGATCGTTTGTTATTTGCTTGTTTGTTACCTGTTGGTGCGGTGCCATCTGCTCTCTCTGTAGTTCGACGACCATGGATCTCCATTCCTCTTCTGCACCTCTCACACGCTCCATACTTCATACTTGGCCACTCTTTGATGTTTCTCATCCAGCTCAGTGGCGGCTCTAGGATATATTTTCTGAGTTGTCCGATAGGGATTTTATGTAAAGCTCATAGAGGCACTGCGCAATATGCGCTATATAGGCCTAAATGTAAATTATTATTATTTTTCTTTCCTTTATTGCCATCAAGTTGCCAGTAATGTAAAATCAACCGGGAATTTTCCCCTCCCAGATAAAGCTAAGCCCTGCCCCTTGAGAAATAGCGTGTACGTAAAAACACGTGCGTTTGTGCGACAGCATGTGTTTGTTGGACGTACACGCGCGTATTCTTGGCACTGTCCTGATTGGACAGTTGTTTAGTTTGATTGACACTCCGGAATAGTCCACTTTCCACTTGTGA